GCCTACAGTCTTTGTCTATGATTGATCGATGATTTTGACTGACCATAATTATTATGGGCCAGGTGCAGTGAAAGACAACGCATAACTTGTGATCACATGACTGAACTCGTATTTTAAAAAGATTTCTTGTAATAGTTTATCTATGATGTGTTTCCTGAAATCATTGGCAACTAGACCTATATAATATAATTTGTACTACAGTGTGTGGGTGCATCAAAGGCACCGCCAAGAGTTTATATAGTGTAGACTACAGCAGGGGTAGTTAGAAGCCATAATCTAACTGCCAATTCTGGTAGTTAGACGACAGCGCCCTTCATACACCCACACACTGTAGTACAAACCAGATAAACTACAGCTGTTTCGTGTTACTGGATATACACTCGGATGTTAGTCGATTTAGAAGCCTCATCAACATCTGTAGTTTATCTATAACTTTAACTCTGGTTGCCTATAGGATTCTCTGTATTTAAAAAGGGAATACGATACACTCCTTTTCAATCAAATAATATTTTAATATTGAGTCAGTGTACATTGTGTGCACAGTTTGTATGCAGCCAATGAAAATTGACTTAATTTAGCTTAGAGGCTTCAAAACGAGTAGTCATTACTTCCTGTAGGGGAAAGAAAAGGAGAGAGTGAGGGAAAGAAAAAAAAATGACAATCAAAACAGGACTATAATATAATCAGTACCTCTTCAGAATCAAGAACCATTTGTGCAGCTCTAGTAATAAGAATAGTTTATTATAATACAATCAGTTAGATGCAGGGTAGTATCACTTACTTATCAATAGCAGTCGTTGGTAGATTTTGCTCTACCCATTTCAAATCTTCCTCCTTAAAAATAAAATTGGAATAAAATTGGCTTTTAAACAAGGATTGAAATACACAGTACTCACAGCCTCCATTGAAGTCAATTGCTGTTTGGTAGATTCTGACTTTCCACTCACAGGACGCATTTTTACAGTTTCTAAGACAAAAAATTAATAATAACGACAATATTTAAACATTATAGTAATAATACCAAAGTTCTTGTTGGCTCCTTGTTCCTCTTCATCTGAGTCTCCATTGCTAACAGGTGAGTAGGCAAACCTACAATCATAGCAATGTAGACATGTGAGAGTCATGTGATACAACCTACCTGAGTTTGTTAGCGGAAGGTCTCCATATTATCATAACTATTAAAAGCATGAAGCAAAATAACATGTGCCAGAAGCACTCAATCAACCACATCTCCCTCCAATCCTAAAATAATAAAAATTAATAGTGCCAATGGTTACTTTTACTCACATTAGTGCAGTTGCTCCTTGTAATGTATATGAACTGCCAGATAATAAATGTCAGAGAAGCTAAAATTTTGGATCATATGATACAATTATATGATATACATCTAGTATAAAAATTAATGAGAGGTTATTGTCACTGACCAATGACAGTAGCAATGAGTGCGTATCCAAGGTGATTGTACAGTGCCAGTTTAACTGTGTTCTTCCTCACCCTCAAGTTCCTCCTGGTATTGATGAGAGCTGAAAAAATGTGTGAACAATTAAGGAAAGTATAAGTAAAGGTCAAATGTACATGTACATGTGGGTGAGAATAAGAGAGGGTAAGGAGTGTTAATGCTAAGTAATGGCAGAGTGTACATGTACTCTACATATAGAGAGGGTAAGGAGTGTTAATGCATTAAGTGGATATCCAGTAAACTATTCCAGTATCAAGCAGGAACAATAATCCAAAGGTAAGCATTGTAGTTAATCCATGATTACCAATACCCTAAATAAATAAAACCAATTAAGGGATTGACAGAGAATGATCAGTCACTACAATTGCATTAATATCTGAATAAATACCATTAAGATTGTGTACTAACCTTTGAGGCTCTTAGTATATACTCCATCAATGAAAGCAACAATAAAATAAACAAAGCCTATAGTAAGAAGATGGCCCAACCTTGGTCTATATAAGAATGTAGAGAGGAGTATGTAAAGGAAGGATGAAATGTAAAAAGTGGATTACTTGACAGTTCCAAATCCTTCACAAACAATAATGATCAGTACTCGAGACAATGCTCTCTTAGCTGCAGACACAATCTCAGCAACATATATCAAACCAGAGGCTGTTGTAAAAAGATAATAATAAGTAAAATAAAATTTATAATGTAAGTTTACATTATTATTATTATTATGGCATGACATGACACACATACTGATGGGTTTCCCACAGGGCATATGCTAAGTGACCTAAAATCATGTTTCATGAGCTGAAAAGCACTACAATAGTACATGTTTATGTACGTGGCTTTTGGAGCAACTGTAATCAGAATCAGCTCAAACTTGCATAACTGTATATGTATTATGAAAAAATATGAAAAATTCTCCACTCCTAATCATTTTTTGGTGAAATTTGGCCAAAGCCTTTGTACTTATAGTACAGGTGGCCCATTTTTAGCAGCTTTAAAAATTTGTAAAAAGAATCCAAACCTGATTGGAATCAACTCAAACTTGCTACACAGCATAAAAACATGTACTACCTTAAGGAGACAATTGTTAGCGGGTATTTAATTTAGCGAATTTTAGCAATTAAAAAAAACACTAATTTAAGTCTGCACTAACTTTAATTTCTAATTACATTAATAATACTTATTAATATTAAATGATTAAAAACACTAAATTAAATATGACTGAGCCAAATGTCTGTATCATGGAAATCGCTAATAATAAGTACACACTAATAATTGTCTCCTTAAGGCATGTATCAGATAAAAATAAAAACAAAGAATTCTTTTAAAGTCATTTTTGGCAAAATTTAGCCCAATTTTTAGCAGCTAAAAAATTTGTAAAAAAATCCACAAACTTGCTACACAACATAATAGAATCCGACTTTATTATTTTGTATATGTCCGTAAACTTCTGCTAATATCCATAGACGGATGGCGCGCGGACATAAACGGAAAAAAAGTGCCACGCCCCATATTTTTATAATGGACGACTACTCAAAGGAAGACCTGTTATTTGTTGAAGTGCCACCTCAAGCAATAGCTATTGAGTGTCCAATATGTCTACAAATAATGAATAAAGAAACTTCTTTAACCTCCTGTGGACATCACTTCTGTACTTCGTGTATTGAGAGAGTAAAAGAGGGGCATGGATCCTGTCCAAAATGTAGATGTTCATCATTTCAAACCTTTCCCGATGCTGACAGGCTCAGGTTTATTAATGGGTTAACAATTTATTGTACTAATAAGAAAGAAGGCTGTGCTTGGAAAGGAGAGCTGAAACATCTATCAAAACATATCAATATAATGGGGAGACATGGAGAGTGTCAGTTTCAACTTGCTACATGCTGTCACCAGAGATGCAATATCAGTATGAAGAGGGTTGATCTCAGTAATCATGAGAAAAATGCATGCCTTGAAAGACACTATTGCTGTGAGTATTGCAATCTTCCAAGCACTTACAAGGAAATAACAAGTAGTCATTATGATGTCTGCCCATGGTATCCTGTCCCCTGCCCTAATAAATGCGATCTACAAAAGATAACTACAACTCGTGAATATGTAGATCATCATTTAAAGAATGACTGCCCTCTTCAAGCAGTTGAATGTGAGTTTAGTTGGGCTGGTTGTACAGTAAGGCCTCTTCGTAGTAATGCAAAAGAGCATATCAATGATGATCTAGCAAAACACCTAACTCTACTAGCCAAAGATTGTAAAGAATCAAAGAAACAAAACAAACAATTAAAGGAAGAAAATCAAGAATTAAAAGAAAACATTTCAGAATTAAGAAAGACCCTTTATAGAAATGGAATAAAATAAATATTGATACATAATAATGCTGATATACCGTATAAGTGGTTTTTTTCGAGGGAATTATATTTCGCGAAATCTGCTAAAATTCCAATTCGCGGATTTTAATTTCGCGAATCCTACCACGTGTGCCATGCGGGTACCGTATTAAATTGATTTTCGCGGATTTTATTTTCGCGAATCACGAGGGAATCCGCGAAATTCGCAAAATTTGCAACCCTCGAAAAAAACCACTTATACGGTAATAGTTCAGATTTCTTAAGTTTTTTATAGACAATGAATAATTGAGTTTTACCACAAAAATGTGATTTTCAACAATTAATTTTAATTTTAATAAAAAGTGCTATTATGAGAAATGAACTTGTACACTGAACTTGATCAGCTCAGTATCAAAGCACTTGAAACACACAACAATGTTATTGTTGACAAACATTACTAAATGAAAGTAAATTGAACCCTGGCGGACTGTGATCATGTTTTAGCATGTTAGAGCAACTTCTAAATTGAAATAAAAAAGACAGTATACAATACATAACTTAAATATTTGTTACAAAAATATGTAGGTAACTAAAACTAACTAAAACAACACCAAATTAAAAATACTGAGAATACATTCAAAAAAACTAATCTGAGCCTAGTTTTAGTATAGTGGCTTTGATTTATACAGTCTTTCGTTGATAGAATAAGAGATACGAAGAAGATGACTACAAAATGAAGATAAACATTGTAACAATCTGGTCAATATTTTGTTTACATAGTAAAAATACTACTAAACTAACTTCAGGAGCCCATCATAGGACATGAGTCCTAGTAACTCATTTTAATCAATACTCATGTACCATAGGGTGCCTTTTCTTCGAGGGCTATAAATTTTGTGGATTTTTATTTTGCGGATTTAATTTTCGTGAATTTATGCTGTCTGCCATCTTGTACTATATTAATTTGATTTTTGTGGGAGTAATTTTTGCGAATCTTTTAAAAATTGCAAAATCCGCGAAATTTATAGCCCTCGAAAAAAAGGCACCCTACGGCATCACATTCACAGGGGATTAGATACTGGATGTTTTCACATCCTGTTTTGTCCAGGACTCCAGGTTAGCAGTGGGAGCGAGAGTCCCTATTTAACAAACCAATCACAAGTGTTTAAAAATGTTCCCAATTTTATTTTCTGATACATAAAATGCCCTACTGGTAAGGTCAAAAAGCCATACAGCACAGGATGAAGCCTCATGGCATTCTCAAGTGCTGTATTTCCTGTACAGCATGAGGAACTGCCACTCTACTTATGGGTCATAGTGCTTGGGTGCATGAAAGGTGCCAGCCAGCCCAAACTTATGCTTCACAAATAAAAGAGAAAAATTAAGCTGAAGAGAAGAATTTCTGCTCATAAAAAGCAGCTTCTTGCTGGTCTTGCCGTCTCATGTTATAAACCACAAACTTGTACTCATGAGATAATACAATGTACGTCTAATGCAATAGAGTTTCAAGTTAACCACCCACACATTATACTGCCTAAGTTTCATGCGCTTATGTAGTCTCACCCTGCCCCTTCACTAAGGGGCAGGGTGAAACTAGCACCCATGAAAATGTAAGATATAGTACAAGTATATGAAGTATAATGAAGACATTTCATACTAACACATATTGAATCAGGTGATGCATCAGAGACATTATTATCATCAAAGCTGTACCACTTCCTACTATCTTTGTTCTTAGCAGAAGCAGTATCTATAAAAAGAATACCCTGCAATGATCAATATAATTAAACATTACTAACAGTGTCCTCCTCCTTGCCCACTATAGTGATTAGATACAGCAAAAAGATCATAGAGTGGCTGGGGCTCTTCTGCATTTACCACATAATCAGAAAGATCTAATTTCCTAGTATTGTATATAGACACAATTAACAATTAATATCATGGTATGCATATAGCTACATCATAACTACCTGTTCATATAAAACCATACAAAACTGACATGCACACAAACAAAGCTATTTTAGTTCAAGACTTCCAAGTTGCTTTTATCTGCATAAAAACTTACTGAAGAGGGAATTCAACTTTTGACTCAATCTTGTTTCTAAAATAAAATGGTGAATGCTACACACTTTCACTGTCATTTTCTCTCACAATTTGTCAGAGAATCTCGTAAGATGTATAACTAATATTGCAGGCATCTTCCATAAATCAAACTTTCTATTAGCTTGCACAAATTTGTTACATCTAGGGCAATACCAAGACTCATCCTCTGCTAGCACTTTGTCATGCATAAATGAATCCATGCAATCATACACTGTTGTTGGTTTCTCAGGCTTCTTGGCAACAGTATACGATTCATGTTCTTCATATGCCTATAATTAAATATCAAAATAAAATATTACTAAAATTACAAAAAAGTATAGCACTGTATGTATAGATTTATGTAGCTCAGTAAAAAAAACTTGGTGGACTATAAATTTTAATCTCCAATTTCATGGGCAATGCATGCGGTCAAAAAACCTTTTTGAAAATAAATTACCAAATTCTCAGTAGAAGCATAATCAACCTGCTATAAATAGTAACTAGTAACCCATTCCATTTTTCTAGAACAAATGGCATAACTATATTAATTGTGCTTACATTAGCTTCTTTTACATTGTAAAAAGCCTCTTTATCTTCAAATTCCCAGTCGCAGCCAATATATGTCTGACCTATCACAACAATACAAAAGATATATGATTCAATTTGTGCAAAAATAATTTTACTAGATAGTTTTATGAATTCATCATCATCTTCTAATCTAGTAATTTCTTGTGATCCATAAGAATTACAAATAACTAATCGAAACAAATCACACTTTTTGTCTCTTTTTAGCTCTCCAGCCTCATCAGAGTCATTGTTGCTTTCAATAGGCATTGTATTAGTTTCAACAATTTCATTGCTTTTTTTGGCTCCTGTATTCTTCTCCTCTTTTTCTCTTTCAGGTTTAATGACCATACGAGTGATCTGAGACATTATGACATTATATAGTGATCTGTATTTACAACCTATTCTTGGGACAGTAACAACAACAGGTAATCCAAACACTTGACCATAAGTAGTCATATGTTTCTGACTAAAGTATGAAGCAGAAGTGTAACGCCTATAGAGAGAGACAGAGAAAAATGCATTAGATTTTGTAAAATTGTGCTATATAACAAATTTTCAAAACAGAATCTGAATCATATAAGCCTATAAGGTGAAAAATTCATAAAAAAATTGATACTGTATATAGTGAGATTTACTACAAAATGGACAAAGTTAATAGGTTGGGCAAGTTAAATTTGGTGATTTTATCATTGGCAGTTAGTATTTGATCCTGCTATACCATATTGTCAGATTAGTGGCTTTGTGAGCTACCATTTTGCCTTATGCTTAAAGACACATGACTGCAAATTGCAAATTAAAACCTCATTTCTAATTGAAGCTTTAAAGAAATCACTCAAAATATTTTATCAACTATAATTACTTTATTTCTCTCATGTAGACAGGGATAGGCACCCAGTTTTGGTCTCCAAGAGGTCTGCGTAGCTCGTATATGAAGATATCATCACGATCCATAATGTGAATAATTGGGTCTTTATCATAATAAATACGATGGAATCGACTGTGATAAACATCAATAACAACCAACTATTATATAGGATGAAAAAGACAAAGCAAGAGGAGGAAAAGAGCAAAATTATAAAAAAGTACCAGTAGTAGAGTCATACATAAGTAGAGTCACAATGTTGAGATGAGGGACAATAAAATCAACTGATACACGAATGAAATATTGTATGATTCAGTAACAATTTTCAAGGGTCCAATAGACCTCTAGATTAATATCGCTCAGAATAAATTATGTCACAAGAGTAATTAGGTGTGGTCAAGAAAGAAACAAGTAAGTTCCATGGATAGCTATGGAGAACCAATGGGCTAAAGCAGAAAGCAAGCTATAGTAAAGACTAAAAAATCTGCTGCACATTGCACAATTAAGATGCTTGGTAGAACCCATCTTTCTTCCAACCAGCTTTTGCAGCTACAAAAAGTTAAAGGGTATCTTTACCCAAACTTGATGTATTTATTTAATGGCCTTAATATGATTACCTAACCATAATAATAATGTGATCCAAATCCCGCTGTCTAAAAATAATTCTTTACTGAGATGAAAAATGTTGACATTTTGCTTCCTGCAATTTTACTTAACTTCCTGTCGGTGGGTGTGGCTACATGTGACATCATAGTAGGAATGTTTCAGATAACTCCATTCCTTTACAGGGGGAAATAATCCTTTATTCTCATGCCTTGTAATGTAATAGCACAAATTTAAAAATTGAGATCTTTAACTTACATTATTCTAAGTATGCAACTGCAAGAAAAAGTCATAATACCACACTTTAGTGAATTTTCTTGTTTGTTATTCTGAGGCTTCTTCTTGCAGTTAATGCCCAATTTTAAAATTTGTGCTATTACATTACAAGGCATGAGAATAAAGGATTATTTGCCCCTATTCATATCTTTCCTGTGAATCATGTTTCTGATTTATAATGATATTCATTGGGATACCATAAATGGAAAATTTTTCAGGCTGCCATTGTGGAGGGATTGTTACACTGTTTTCAATGGAGCTCGATACACTTTCTGCCATTTTGTAAGAAGAGCAAGCAGTTATAGCCGCAAAAGTAAAAAAAATGCAACCTTTATCATTCTTTTCCTAGGTCTGCAACTATTTGGAGCCACTGGAATAGCATGGAGAAGTAAAATTGACAGTTTTTAGTCTGTCAGTCCATTGTAGCAAGTGATAGTATGCCTCTACAATGGCGGCCTGAAGAATTTTCCATTTACAGTATCTCAATGAATATCATTATAAATCAGAAACGTCATTTACAGGAAAGATATAAATAAAGGAATGCAGTTATCTGCAAATGTTCTTACTGACGTCACATATAGCCACACCCACCGACAGGAAGTAACATTGTAGTCTCACAGGGCCAGACTCAACTTTTAGAATACCGTGATCTTCAGGTTGGTTGATCCAATTTTCTTACTTCCTGCTCACATGACATGTATTATTAGTATGGGGAAAGTCACGTGATTAACAAGTTTGCAAGGTCAAGCAACCTGCAAAGCACGGTAGAGTCTGGTTTCATGCCTAACATCAACTTGTGCTTGTCTGGCAAAATTTGGTCAACCTAATCAGATCACTGTTACCATGGTTACATTAGAATCCACTCACACACGGCAAGTCTATCAAGAGTGGAACTAACTGAGCTATTATACTTTCTTTCTATGACTACAACTGCCGACTGGATTGCCTTTATCTGCTCTGATGGTTAGACAATTAGGCAAGTAAAGAAATGCTTCTAGTTCCCTCTCTTGAAATAATGGGCAGATGAATTCAGCCACCATGATTGCTTCAACTTCAGTACTGCCAAGAAAAGCCAAAAATTGGAAGTACTTTACTGCTTTATTTTTCTTGATGTCAGCAAGCAAGTTGAGTAACATTTTTTGCCCACGCAAATCAAAACATTGAAAACAAGAGTTGATATTAGCAAGAGTACATAATACTTAAGAAGAATACTTAATACTTATGTACTCTTGATATTAGGCATGGTACCAAACTCTTATTCAGTAAATTAGAGTCTGGCTTGCAAGTGCAGGAAGCAAAATGTCAACATTTTTCATGACTTTGAAGGCTCATATCTCAGTAAATAATTATTTTAAAACAGTGGGATTTGGAACACATTATTATGGTTATATAGGTAATCATATTAATGCCATAAAATGAAGCACCATGGTGCGTGGACTCGCCTGCTGAGATTCACCTGAGGGATAATGTGTTACTTGTACTGCCCCCATCATGATATTATATATATAAGCAACTTGATATTTGAAAAAAGGATAATAGATTTTGAATAAACTGCAACAATGCAATTACTGCACTGATACATAAAATAAGTTATAGGTGCGGTCAGCACTTAGCAATGCAGTGCAGATAAACATTAGTCTCACTAGCCAGACCATTCCCCAGCCTACAGTCACCCCAATGACTGTAGGCTGGGGAATGGTCTGGCTAGCAAGACTAGATAAACATGGCACGTGGCTAGGAGAAAGAAGAAAAGCTGAAATTTTATTCTAGCATCTCAAGCTCTATTCAAAGAAAGAGTTAGCACAAAAAATTTGCCTAGATATTCAAAAGAGACTGAGATAGTTTGGTTGCTCCTGCTTTCCCCAGTGCTGCCTGAAAATTTTTCGAAGAGACTAAATCACAAACTTTGAGCAACTGTAACTTGCAAACAAAAAAGAGATTAGAAAATTCCCACATATTTTTTAATCTATGTACTTTTCTCTACCTATCAATGCTAATCTTGACCAAATAGAGTGAAAGACGAAGATTTGGCTAGGAAAAGTGGTCTATTCTTGAAAATATTCAGCTTTTGCTACCACGGATTGCTATTAAAATACAACGGAGCTAAATAAATTACCTTTTTCTCAAAGCTGAAAACGAATTATAACTCAGGAGAGCTCAGTAAAAAAGATATTGACTAGGAATTAACAGGAATTTTCATGACAGAATGACAACCCAACTGCATAGTACCTGCCTACGCAAGTGTGGCAAGTCTAATAAATACATCAAATTTGGATAAAGATACCCTTTAAAACACAAGTGGCAGACAATAGGTGGAGTATCTCATAATAATGATATTTATGCACTTCGTCATTTACAGATCTAGAGGTCTATATTTTCATGCTTTCTTCAAAATTTCCTTGGAAGCAAATATTTGTGGCTGGCAGTTAGAAAACTTCTTTTCACTTGGATATACAGTACTAGCTTAAAGTGAGAGTTTACTTCTGAACAAAATGAATGAATGACAGACACCACAATGAACTACATAGTCATGATAGTCTTGTGAGGTTCTATGAGTGTTTTATTATTCATTGTGATTATTGATTATCAATTATTATTAGTTCTCATTATTATTTATGATTGTATTGTGTAATGTGTATATGTGTGAGTAATTTTTGTGAGCCATTTTGGCTAAGTGCGTGTGTGAGTGGTGAGCTATTGAGTTGTTGGGAGATAGCGTGGCACTATCTATCTTTGTTTTGTCATTGTTTGAACCAGTAAAGCTGGTATTATTTGATTTTAAAGAGATTCTATTGAATTATTTTGTGAAATTGATAGCGAGCCTGGCATTGGCAAGCTAACTGTACATTGAGCTGAGCTGACTACTGAGGAAGCAGCTATATAGACAGGCTGGACGGCATCCCTGAATCTGCTAGAAGACGCCGGACAAGTCTTTGCCCATGCAAATTGCTCGCAAGGCCAAAAACTGGTACAACCAAATTCAAAGCATAATCCTAAAATGCTATTACATTGCCATTATGATAAATTGATAATAGAAGATTGCAAATACCATTTTGAGACAGGTTGCTCCAAAACTTTGTGGCTATAAGTTGGTACATTTGGAACAGTTTCAGAGTTACCTTAAGGAGACAATTGTTTGCGGGTATTTAATTTAGCGAATTTTAGCGATTTAAAAAAATCACTAACTTACCTTAAGCCTACTACTATTTGCGTCTACTAATTTTAGCGAAATCAGCAAAAGTCATGTTTAGCGTTACTAATTTTAGCGTTTTTAACCAAATTAACTATAATTAATAACCATTATAATGAATAATAATTATTTTGGCGTCTATTTAATTTAGCGATTTAAAGCTCTCTCGCTAATATCGCTAAATTTAGTAGACGCTAAAAATAGTAGGCTTAAGGTAAGTCCGTGCTAACTTTAATAACTTCATTGAAAGCAGGTGTGGTCACAATAAATAAAATGGCGGCTGTCAGCAACTCTGAGCTTATTTGCAGCAAACGGTTAGCAAGATAAGACTGAACTGCTGTCCAAAGACTTAGACAAAGCAGATGACAATCTTCTTCGTTCAGTGACTGCTTCTAATTGTAAGCAAGATAACTTTACATTTTTGGAGCAGATTCAGTGATGAAGCTTGAAGCAATTTAAGCAAGATTAATGCAACAAGATCTACTGTATTTAGACTTGTGCAATTGCTTTGCTTGCTCATACATGTGATCACAGCACATAATCTATAGCTTGTTTAGGCTCGCCCCAAATTTTTTACATTCTTTAGTAGTTATTAATACCAAATGATCAAAAATGCTAAATTAAGTACCAGCCAAATGTCAGTACCATAAAAATCGCTAAAATAAGTACACGCTAATAATTGTCTCTTTAAGGTAATCTATTTCTTATTTGCCATGTTACAAACTAAATTCTTAACTTCTTACGTTAGATGGATCAATATCAATCATTTTCTGTAGTTCTTCTTTCATATGAAATATATTGCCATCTTTAGGCACAGACAAACAGTACTATAATAATTATGGTTTATTATGTCAATATATATCGTTATACCTTCTTCATAATGGCTAGTGGATCAGATCTGATCAAAAAAACTTTAATATCTCTTGTATTCTGAACTGGTATTGGTAGGGAGAGGTACATGAATGGATCAAAGGTGCGTGATTCCTATAAATAGTGAGAGGTAAGTAAAATGGTACATACATGTAGTGATGTTTAAGAAAAAAGAGCTGGAAAAAGAATGGTGAAAAGAAAGGAGAAAAACTAATGGACAAATAGGCCATCAACTCTTTACATAGGACTTGCTTAAGTTTATCTAGCCTTAGCCAACCTTTTCACATTTTGGACAATGAAGAGTTGATTTCAGTTGTCCTTGAAAAAGTCTAACAATAACCGACTGATTACATTGCAAGTAACAGAGCCATGATTCTCTAGCAATATCCTAATGATTTGATATAATATAACATCATGTATTGTGAGTGACTTTCAATTACGGGTACAAAATATTTAACTCCCAACTGATTATGCAGATACTGATAACTGTAAAAACTATATGACATAACAAATTAATTACATGCATTAATAATTGCAATTTTTTACTCCTAATAGCAAATTAGCAGTTAATAGTACCTAATTAAAGAAATAACTGCATAATGTACAATATGCACTACATACTTAGCACATAAGCATGCAGGCTCAATGCTACTTCATCTTAAAAAGTGAGCAATTCTTAGAAGTAATTGTAGACCTGTACTTACATACTGTATTTCCTCAAATATAAGATCAGGTATCTATTTCTAAAATTGGCTTTTGAATCTTAAAAAACTTATGTGGCAACCAGGATTCAAACCAGTGACCTATTGCATAGAACACTTCTAATACTTAGCAGGTATATATCTAGTTGCTTTTCAAAATTAATTACGGCTTGGACTGGCCAGCTAGCCTCAATTAATAATTATGAGTGGGCATGCAGCTGGAGGCTGGGAGGGTCATATGTTATATGATATGGGAGATTTCTACAAGGCATAAATGTCATTGTACATGTATGTCTAGATTTGTATCTTTATACTCCAATTTTAGTGTAAGCCTAATGTTTATTTGTACCCGGCTTTTATCTAAGGATATACAGTACCCATATGGGAAATAAAATAATTTCCTACAAAGCAAAGTGTATATCTACATGCATCTAATAACCACTTTAACACGTTAAAATGCTCTGCAATTAATGTAAAAATGGGAATTACAACTGTCAGCATTATAATACATTTATGTTATAATCTATGAAAGTACTAACATTATCATCTCTTCCTTCAGTTTTAATATTCATTTCAATACAGGGTCTCTTCTTAATAAGATTCAAGTCCTCATGTAGCTTATTTAATAAAAAATCTAATAATTTGTGTGAATCATGTTGCTGAGAGTCAAAAAGCTCAGGAGCATGCCTTGCTATAACGTTTCTTAACCGACGTGGTATAAGATAAGAATTCTGTCCAGTCCACATGTCATTCAACAGGGCCCCAAATGATTCAGCAATAACCCCACCTAGTCCCAATGGGTTGTTCCTATTGATATGTTTCTTGTATGGCTTCTCAGCTAAAGTAATTCAAATAAAGGTTATCATTTTAAGATTACTGTGCACATTCAAGGCTAATCATAAATAGAAAAAAATACTCTACTTGCCTAAAGGCTTCACTTTGAGTGTATAAATTTCCATGATAGCATTCGAAAATAAAATTGCAAAAAATACATTTATTTGAGTGTGGTAATTCATTAAAATAAAATGATTACCCTATACCATAATGTGAGTTACTCTCCTTCGATCATAAATATACTACCCATAAAAGGGATTGGAAACTTCAGTCAGTGGTAATAATTGCAAGGTGAATTGGGCCACGTACCCACCAAATCTTAGCTCTATGGTGAGACTATAGCAGCTATATTTCAGAATGAAACAGGATAGTCTCGTCATGCCCCTTCGCTACCTAGCGAAGGGGCGGGGTGAGACCAGAAACAGGCAAGTAGCTATTTACTTCTATACTTCTCAGTTTAAGCCACCCTACACTGAGTGCAACATAACATATTATTTTAGGTAATATTCATAAGTGGAGCTTTTTAGACTACAAGAACTTTTTGCCACATCACCTAGAATTCCATTACTCACAAAATACCCAACACAGACAAAATTAACACCACAGTACCCTGAAGAATCTTAAGAAGTAAAACTTGGCTGTTTCATTCTAAAATGCAGTAGCTAGAGTACCACAAAGCTTCGCCAATGATATACCAAGAATTGAACAACACAATCCAATGCAGTCATTTTATGGGTAGTATATCTATGCTTAAATTCAGTTTTCCTACACCTACCTTTTCCTTCTTTTCCAATAAAATATTCAACTAGTGGTTCAGTGTTACTAAGACATTGTAGAACAGAGTTCAAGAAACAAGTGTTACCCAGATTAGACAATCCACACAAACCTAAAAATTACCACACTGAATAGCCCATGTTTAACAAATCAGCATTGATATTGGAAATGACATCATATCATATAATACCAATATCATTATAACTACATTATAGAGTCGCTTGGGGCTATTCCGACCCATTTCTGCACTATGATCTAATCAAATATTCACAAGTCATAACTCACTCTTCTTTGCTTTATTCCATTCATTTTATTTATCATAAGCTTTGTTATCTACGTGAAATGCTAATGAACATGCAGCCAGAGTTGCTTAGTTGCACTCTATGAAAATCAAGCTGTTATGTGGTGCTGGTAGTTAGAGAATTCTGTGCTGAATAGATATATCTTTGTTTCAGCCCTTTACCTGCTATAGTTAAGAATTTACCACAGGAGAAAGAGGATAGTCTAATCGGGCGGGCTATTGTGACTGATGCACCCAGATTTTGCATTCATTTATTACAGAGGGACAGAATAGCCTCTACTTATCTACCAAACTTCATAAAATGACACAAAAGTTTCGCCGCATTCGTATGATTGATATGAAGCAAGTTGCAATCGCTATTGGACAAACTATATGTACATAAATCTATTGACAAACCATAGGACAGTGGGGGCTCATCTTGCATAGCCAGACCCATCCCCTTTTTGACATTTCCAAATGTCAAAAAGGGGGTGGGTCTTTGGAGATGGGCGAATCCAGAAATTTGCATTCGATTCCGATTCTGAATACTTTTGAGACTGGAATCGAATACCAATTCCAAGTACTACTTTGTACATCTGCGCATGCGCAAAGCGACGTGGTATCAATTACAGGAATAAAAATGCAATAATAATGAATAATTAAGCTATTAACTACTGATTAATTAACTACTATTAATATTAAAAGGTGTGGTTGGGTGTGGCTTAATTCGGAATCGTTTCAAACAATTCTCACTTCTCTTTTGATACGAGTACAATTCCATTCGGAATCGAAGGATTGAATACTCTGGACTCGGAATTGCCCATCACTAGGGTCTTAGTCTCACTGGCCAGACCATTCCCCAGCCTGGGGAATGATCTGGCCAGTGAGACTAGGTGGGTCTGGCTGCGCGAGATATAAGATTGGGGGCTAAACTAGTTCCCAAAATGGCCAAAACCCATGCAAAAGTGAGGTGCTGGTCCCCAAAACTAGACTATTAACCGAGCTATTAACTCTCGAGCTAACGCCTGTCTATGATGCAAAACTGACCAGGAGCAATCCGTTCCTGGCCGTATGTGAATTTGCTGGCCATGACACAAACCAACCAGATCCAGACTCGTCCAGACTACCGGTACACAGAAGCCTAAAAGTAAAAACTTAACTGTTAATCTGTTATTAGTGTTATACTCGACAGTCGACACTCGGAGGCTAGGGATAAACTAATCACGTGATTGAAAGTACCGTGTATACTGTGTCTATAGTCTCGCGTAGCCAGACCACACCCTCCGTGCCTACGGGTGGGTCTGGCAAAATGACCATACTCCGCTCGTTCTGGTTCACCCAAAAATGGGTGAACCAATTTTTTTGCTCCACTTCACCCAGAAACGGGTGAATTGATACAGTAACTCTTGACTCTTCTACTACCTTCTTCTTAAGTGACAAAAAGCTAGAGGAACAGCTGTGACAAATTATACATCTTCTCCCTCTGACGGCCCGCTTGATCTATGCCGATTAAAGGGCTATCAAAGCTCTCTTCCAAAAGATCACCATATCTATCAAGTAAAAGAAGCCTTTTGCCTTTTAGGTCCTGCTCTTGAGCTCCCTGCCAGAAAGAATCAAGCATTCACTTGATGCATCCACTTCACCCATTTTTGGGTGAACCAGAACGAGCGGAGTATGGTCAATTTGCCAGACCCACCCGTAGGCACGGAGGGAGGGTGTGGTCTGGCTACGCGAGACTAATGTGTCTATGTCCCAACGTGCAACTGAGAATGGACCGGAAGTGGAAGCAGCTGCATTGGAATTCGAAAAAAAATGTAGTTACGTCACTAATGACGTTTATAATGATATTCATAGAGACATGGCCGATATTTCGGCTGTGTTGTTTCACTCTTAAAACAGTCTTGTTCTTCCTGATAAGCAGTACAATAGCTGCTGGAGTCAACTAGTCTTCATAAAGGTCATCATTATCAGAAGATCTTGGTCTATTAGTATTTTTAAAAGAAGAATTATCAGTTTGGGCGCTCGACCACATGTGCTTATTAAACTATGACATCATAGAACGTCATTGCGGTTAGCTTTGGTATGCCATTGGGTTTATAGGGAGAACCCGGTTCTCAGGGTTCCCAAGGGCTGAGAGACCCAAGACCTGAGATCCTGAAGCGGCATTGGGCGACTAAGAACCTGTGAAAGTCTCATTCTTATCCACATTCCTATAAAAAGTTATTCCAGTTTTTCTTAACACGTGATTGAAAGTACCGTGTAGCTATAACCATAGATATTATACAGGATCACGTGAGCGCATTATGCATCGAATTCGCGAAACCAACCTAGTTTTCCGGGAACTAGTTAATTCGTGGTTATTAAGAGTGAAATTTGAATTCCGTAATGGAGATTGTTAAAAATACTTTGTGGGACTTTCTAGGCTATACCCGGCGGTTTTATGACAAGGTATTTAGCTCTATAGCTACTTCTTAACATCCTACAGTGGACTAAGACGTTTTTTATGGTGCGCATCTGTTAGTTTGAGAGTAATGGCATCCTGGCTTAAGATCCCTTTGTTTTAGCACGCCATAACTTTTTGAAACATAGATATAAGCACTAATAGATGCCTTATTCCACTAAAGACCCTTGAGAGGTAGCTATAAAGGCTCCTACTAGCCTGCTTTGTCGTCCGATGTAGTTGCTAGAGTCCCACAAACTTTCTCCATTCATCTCCATTACGGTCACCAGTTCCCGGCAAACTAGGTTGCGCTCACGTGATCCTGTTTCCAATCCTGTTCAGTGTATAATATCTATGCTATAACAGGTTTGGAGGCTAAAATTTTGGCGAAATTTTAACTCTGTGTAGATCTATGCTTCTAAGCCTTCTATGTTGTCTTATCAAATTGGAGACTACAAATTTGGCGAATGGACCTCAATTCGCCAAAGCTTTACTCCTCCAAATTTTCTAGCTATACAGTAGATCTCTGGGTGCGGTTGGGTTTAGTCTAAAAGCTACACAGCCAAGAATCGGACTGTGTCATCTCTGATACAGGCCACTACAAGCTCGGGCCGCTACCCAAAATCAATGATTCAAGCCTGATGTCTATTTTGATACAGCCCTGACTGGCATCAATCTGGAATTACGTCTGTTGCTCTGGGCCATACACCAGCATGGTTGTATTATGGATTATCATCATGATTGTATCATACTAGATCAATTGCTTTGCAGGCTGCCCAAAATCCAATCCAAAATCCATGATACAGGAATGTATCAGGCTGATCCTGATTGATATCAGTCATGATTCAAATTAAAATTCTTGGCTGTGTAGAATCCTAGATAATTTATTTTATAAAAACTCATAATGAAGTCATTGTAAATTAGGTCATGCACATGCACCTAACCATTACTAAAGCTTTATGTCATCATTGTCATAAGATGAAGATACACTCTCATTCCCACCCGATCCCCCAAGCTATAAATTACTAAGTTGCCTATAGGATTCTCTGTATTTAAAAAGGGATTACGATACACTCCTTTTCAATCAAATAATATTTTAATATTGAGTCAGTGTACATTGTGTGCACAGTTTGTATGCAGCCAATGAAAATCGACTTAATTTAGCTTAGAGGCTTCAAAACGAGTCGTCATTACTTCCTGTAGGGGAAATAAAAAGAGAGAGTGAGGGAAAAAAAAGATAAAAGTGACAATTGAAACAGGACTATAATATAATCAGTACCTCTTCAGAATCAAGAACCATTTGTGCAGCTCTAGTAATAAGAATAATTTATTATAATACAATCAGTTAGATGCAGGGTAGTGTCACTCACTTATCAATAGCAGTCGTTGGTAGATTTTGCTCTACCCATTTCAAATCTTCCTCCTTGTATAAAAATAAAATTGCAGTAAAATTGGCTTTTAAACAAAGATTAAAATATAAAGTACTCACAGCCTCCATTGAAGTCAATTGCTGTTTGGTAGATTCTGACTTTCCACTCACAGGGCGCATTTTTACAGTTTCTAAGACAAAAAATTAATAATAACAACAATATTTAAACATTATAATAATTACCAAAGTTCTTGTTGGCTCCTTGTTCCTCTTCATCAGAGTCTCCATTGCTAACAGGTGAGTAGGCAAACCTGTATTCATAGCAATGTAGACATGTGAGAGTCATGTGATACAACCTACCTGAGTTTGTTAGCAGAAGGTCTCCATATTATCATAACTATTAACAGCATGAAGCAAAACAACATGTGCCAGAAGCACTCAATCAACCACATCTCCCTCCAATCCTAAATCAATAAAAATTAATAGTGTCAATGGTTACTTTTACTCACATTAGTGCAGTTACTCCTTGTAATGTATATGAACTGCCAGATAATGAATGTCAGAGAAGCTAAAATTTTGATTATATGTTATAGTATAAAAAATTAATGAGAGGTTATTGTCACTAACCAATGACAGTAGCAATGAGTGCATATCCAAGGTGATTGTACAATGCCAGTTTAACTGTGTTCTTCCTCACCCTCAAGTTCCTCCTGGTATTGATGAGGGCTGAAAATATGTGTGAACAATTAAGGAAAGTATAAGTAAAGGTCAAATGTACATGTACATGTGGGTGAGAATAAGAGAGGGTAAGGAGTGTTAATGCTAAGTAATGGCAGAGCTCTACATATAGAGAGGGTAAAAAGTGTTAATGCATTAAGTGGATATCCAGTAAACTATTCCAGTATCAAGGAGGAACAATAATCCAAAGGTAAGCATTGTAGTTAATCCATGATTACCAATACCCTAAATAAATAAAACCAATTAAGGGATTGACAGAGAATGATCAGTCACTAGAACTGTGCTAATATCTGAATAAATACTATCAAGATTGTGTGCTAACTAACCTTTGAGGCTCTTAGTACTCCATCAATGAAAGCAACGATAAAATAAACAAAGCCTAGAAATACCACTTTAGTAAGAAGATGACCCAACCTTGGTCTATAAGGAGTATGTAAAGGAAGGACGAGGTGTACTGTGGATTACTTGACAGTTCCAAATCCTTCACAAACAATAATGATCAATACTCGAGACAATGCTCTCTTAGCTGCAGACACAATCTCAGCAACATATATCAAACCAGAGGCTGTTGTAAAAAGATAATAATAAGTAAAATAAAATTCATAATGTAAGTGTACATTATATTATGGCATAAGAGTATGACACATTATACTGATGGCTTTCCCACAAAGCATGCTTGATGTATTAAAAAATTTTTTAAATTGCAAATTCTCTCCTAGTCATTTTTGGTGAAATTTGGCCAAAGTCTCATAATAGTGTATAGGGACTTTGGCCTGATTTTGAACAACTTTAAAAATTCATAAAAAATCCAAAATTGATTGGAATCAGTTCAAACTTGCTAAACAACATGAGAACATGTATGTGCATCAGAAAAAATTATTAAAATGGAGAATTTTCTCCTAGTCATTTTTGGCGAAATTTGGGCAAAGACCCTGTACTACAGTACAGGGACTTTGGCCTAATTTTTGAGCAACTTTAAAAATTCGTAAAAAATCCAAACTTGATTGGAATCAATTCAAACTTGCTAAACAACATGAGAACATGTATGTGCATCAGAAAAAAATTATTAAAATGGAGAATTTTCTCCTAGTCATTTTTGGCAAAATTTGGGCAAAGACCAGGCCTGGTACTACAGTACAGGAACTTTGGCCTAATTTTTTAGCAACTTTAAAAACTTTAAAAAATCTGATTTTGAACAAGATCAGCTCCACGAGCACTATGCCAAAATCCTGTGGAGAAACCCAGTATGCAATATAGTACTCTTACAATCTATTCCTCCATTGGCAGTTCCATACTCTGCAACAAAGAAAACCTTCTCAAGAAACCCGAGGAGAATGACGGCAAGGATCCAAAACTGAAGTCTAACGAGGTCCTTGTATTCCAAAGCCATTAGGACAAGCCAGAGGATGGCATAGAATATATAGAGTATCATCAATATACTGTACACCTGGAATAGGATTGAGAAGGAAGGAAAATGAGAGAGGAGAAAGGAGAATAGTAGTACACATAGCTAATATTCATTATTACTATCATAGCAGGATAGTCCACAAGGCTTAGGTATCCATATTTATTCTTCATGTCAACATGAACTAAAAAAAAAATATATAAATATATAAATAATAAATAAAAATTATTATTATTATTAATTAAAGTTTTTTTTAAATTTAATTTTAATAAATAAATAAGAATCAAACTTTTTTAATAAAAGGAATTTAATTAGGAAATGCTTAAACTAAAAGCAATAATGAAAGTACTTACAAGCAAGACTGAAATTGATATCATTCTTCATAGCAGTGGCCTCAATGACTACATCAAATACTCCACTGTTGTTAGTAGTGAAAGTGGCCCATTCGGGGTCATCAGGTACACTGCTGGCATTGTTAATAAGTACAGTGGTAGTAGGAGCCTCTGTAGGTGGTGGAGTGGTGGGAGCTGTAGTAGTAGTGCCATTAGTAGGGGCTGCTGTAGTAGTGTCATCATTAGGAGCTTTAGTAGTAGTGTCATCATTAGGAGCTTTAGTAGTAGTACCATCATTAGGAGCTTTAGTAGTAGCACCATCAGTAGGAGCTTTAGTAGTAGCACCATCAGTAGGGGCTGCTGTAACTTCAGTGCTAGCTGCACTCCTTTTAGATGCTGTTGTAGCAGTACCATTCTTTGTATTTGTGCTATTGGCAGCAGAGGATGGTTTCTTCTGAGACTAATGTAATATTAAAGGAGAGAGAGAGAGAGAAAAAAATTAATGACTCACGAGTGTTAATAAATTAGCTGAGAAAAAAAAGCATTTACTAACATGAAAATTAATATAGTCGCGTCCACTTGTGACTTTAAAGACTTGAGTATTAGTCATAACTATTTCATCAACTGTCCTAATAGCACAATTCTGTAAAGGAAAGAAAAAGAAGAAAAAATGAGACAGTAAGAAAAGAGAGCAGGACTAGTAAACATGCAGAGCATAGTAATTAAGCAATGAGCTTCAGTTAGATGTTAGTAATTAAAGTGAACAAACTGCATTATACCTTTTTATCAATGGCTTCACATTGGCTTTCGTACAAAGTTATCTTGAAGGTTATTACAGCCTCGTGAGCTAAAAACAAACAACAATTATTGCTAATGAAAAAAAGTAAAACACCAAATATATTACATGTAACTAATAGCTCTAATTTTTTAACACACGAATGGAAAGAGGGACAGAGTTAAAATACACTCCAAAAACAACAACAAATTTTACTGTACAGCTCTAAATTTTTGTCGGTCAAAAATTTTTGTTAAAGCATTCACTTGACAAATTATTATTAATTTTCTTAACGTATTTCTATTAGTATGCACATGTACATGTAGCACTATATTAAATTTAAATGGTAAAATGAAATAAATTTAAAAAATTATTCAAGTTCTAACAAACAAAAATTTGGAGCTAATTGATATGAACCAGTTAATGAGTGCTATCATTAAAGAGTGCTTATGATAACTTGAAACAAACATAAATAAGCACTAGGACTACATGTACATGTATGTACATGTACAAATGTATGTACAATGTAACTCTTAAAATTCATTACCAATATGCATGTACAGGCATACAGTCACTCATATACCAACAGCTAATGCTTATTTAACACATTTAAAACGATAAGAATGCTGCTATAATAGAACATAATTTCATTGTAGAACATTACCAAACAAAATAAACAAGTTATAAGCAGACAGTGTATTATTAGTACATGAACAAGTAGCTGGTTTTAATTTCACCATTGAGCATGCACATAATGGATCATAATGGAAGGTTTTATTTTGATGAATGGCCATCAAAATGCCAAATTTCTCTCCAAAATTTATTGGTTAGGTAAATAATAATGATAATTATTATTAGTAGTACCTGACATGTTTGCATTGTATAGTGACACTCTTATCCTTGAGCCTCCTGCCATAGTCAAACTGGTACAGCCAGAGCTGGAAGAGAAGGCAACCAGTTAAACTACACCCACCATAATGTGTGAAAGGACTCACCGTGTCTGTGTGTTATTAAAGAGGACCACTTTATTGTGCCCGTGATCTGGTACTGCTAAAGACAAGGAAAGGCAGCAAAGGAGGAGGAAGACAGATCGGAGCATACTGAAAGAAGAGAGGAGCAATGCAAAGACTGAAGAAGATGACAAAGATTTGGACACGTATGAAAGATGGCTGACCACACCTACAATAGGCGTGGTTTTGTGTGACTATTTTTTTGCAAGTTTTTGCTTGGTAGACTTATGAATGGAATATGCTCTAGATTGCTTTTAATAATTGACATTGAGCTAAATTTTGATAAAAGTGTCACTGGCTTTCTTTTATAAAAGAGGACCATACAGTTTACACTAAAAAAAGAATAAGTTATTAAAACCACACCTCTTACCAATAAGTGGGCGTGGTATCTCCTGGTGCGCATTAATTAGAAGATTGTTTACCGGCTGCCATAGCATTCCAGTGAAAGGCAAGACTTCTGCTAGCTACACATCAATACTAGGTCAACACTAGTCAAACAAATGTGGAAGGCCCCTCCTGATAAAAGCAGAGACGCCAGATAGCCGATAAAGAAATCTTACAATCCTCCCCTTCTCGTTTCTGCCACCTCGACTGGAGAGAGGAGCTCGCCCATGGACTGGTCTGCAGCAGACATCCTCCTTCTAGGAGCCGACGTGGACGAGTTTAGACTAGAGAAAAACATAAAACCGGAAAAGGTATGCTGGACACTGCGAAGCACACGAATACATGCACATTTACAAGCCACTGCAAGCATCTTTGATGATTGTTATCCTACTAGTCCTAGAATGATTTTCTTTCTCCTGTTTTTAGTCACTGGATGAAATTGAGAAGCTATGTGTCGATGAGAAGCTCTCCGTGTTTGAGAAAGCTTGCCTGCTAGTCGAAAGCAGCTACGATGTTCAGAAGATGTGGGTCATAGAGCAGTTACCATCTTTACTCGTGGCCAATAAACAAGGTGTCATCGATAAGATAGTACCTAAGCTACTGGTAAGATAATGAAATGATAATTATTTATAATTATAGTATTGTCATAAACAATATTAAAGATAGAAACGATTGCGTATGATGGATTTTATAAGTGATACTATAGGGAGCCAGGGTAAGGAAAAGGGAGAGCAGACCACTGAAATGCTTATTGGCTGGTTGAAGTGTGACTTTTTGCAACTTAGAGGATTATTATTGACTTGTATCAAGAGTAGTATAGTCACTAAATACCATCGCATCCTTATATTGACTATTTATATAAGAAACACCTTTTCATGTACATTTGTATTAATTACAGCCAATTGCAAGATCTACCTTGTTTACAGCACACCTTGTTTATAGCACTCTCTCTCTCTCTCTCTCTCTCTCTCTCTCTCTCTCTCCCATTAGGAGTCTTTCCATAGCAGTATAAATATCGAGCTCCACAGAACTGGTAGTAAAATATTCTCTTTGGTTGCAAAGGATAACATAGTGGATCCATCTGTCTTTGTTAGCTCTTTTCTACCAGCTGTACTCAGTCATTTTGAAAATAAGAACCAATGTAGTACAATATTATAATTAGTATGCTTATTATAAGTTTCTCTCTTTCTTTTAGCCATTGGCAGTTACTGGTTTGATACACTAGTAAATATAATTCCATATTTACCTAAAGACACACTGAAGCATAAGGTGACTTTCATTCATTGCATGAGTCTGCAGTTATTAAAAGTTGTACTGTGCATTTGTAGATAATGAACATTGCACGCTTAAGGGGGCAGCTGTCTCAGCCTGTGCCTTCCCGCCAAACCTGCTGCAAGATCATAGCAAAAATGGCTGGTAGTCTAGAGGCAAACTGGTATGGAATAAATGAAATTGATGAACATTAAGAAATAACATTTACATGATATATACATTTATGTATCCGCAAAAAGGCTAAGACTCAGCATCAATGAACTACATTGTACATGTATTCATGCAATTTTTAGCTGAAAATTCTGCATATAAATGCATGCGTACATGCATTATACATATACAATGTACAATGTACTTCTGCCTCTCTTTAGGGTCAAGCAAGAGCTACTTTCTCTTGTCAAGGCACTGGCACAAGATGTTGATAATGATGTTAGAGAGACAATGTGTGGAGAGCTAGCATGTTTTGCCAAGTGTATGGGGTACGTGCATGAGCATATAAAATAGCTTTAATTTACTACATTTACATGTATGTACAGGTTTCCCACAAAGTATGCAGCATTTTTGAGTAATTTAAATTTTTTTCAAATCCAAATTTTATTGGAATCAACTCAAAGTTGATACACAACATTAGGACATCTACAATGTACATGTATCAGGAAAAAATATTAAAATGGAGAATTTTCTCTTTGTGATTTTTGTCAAATATCCTAGCTGTAATAGTACAAGGCCTTTTGTCCAATTTCTGAGCACACTGACAAGAAGCTGCATTAGCACTATGCCAAAATCCTGTCAGAAATCCTATATGCATGTATTTACTATTTTTAATGCTAATGATGCTAATGCTAAGATGTTCAAATATTGTACACATGTACATGTACATCTACTGTACCATTATTTTTGCATGTAAATCAGAATGCATATACTCTTACATGTATACGATTATTATTGCTACTTTTTGCTGCAGTCGTGATTCATGTGGTATGTTCATTCTACCTGAAGTGATTGAGCTGTCAAGAGATGAAGAAGTTGGTGTGAGATGTGCTGCAATGGTCACCATAACAGAACTGCTGCCATCACTGGATGAAAGTATGAAGAATGTACAGTGTACTACAGTCATTATACACATGTGTACATGTATGTACATTTACATGATACAGGCATACAGTGCAATACATTAACATGTACATGTACATGTAGCTATACATGTACATGTATAATGATTGGTATTTTTATAGACTCGTTAGAAAAGACTGTGGTTCCATTGGTAATGGAGCTATTGGAGGAATCAGAAACTGGTAAAGAGATGAGACTAAGAATTAAATCATCTGAAATCATTGGACACTTAGCCCATGAACTGAAAGGTAAGAAGAGTACAGTTACATGCACATGCATACATGTATATGTAGTGCGTAACTTCATGCATGCTTTGTGTGAAATGCCTGTTTATACTGTGTACATATACATGTATCTCTCATCATGTATCTTTAAGGATACTTAACGACGGATCAGAGTTTCCAAATGCTCAAGCTTTTTGAGAAGCTCTCCCAGACGTCATCTCTAGTGTCTACCGACTCCAAAATCCTCTCCCCTCACACTGAGGGACAGATAACATCTTCAAGTACCAGCATGGCCTCAAGGAACTCATTCTCTCCACACATCACTAATGATGATGGAGCTGAGTGCAGGAGACTATGTGCTTATAATATGCCAGTACGTCTTTTAGCATATACAGTACATGTACATGTAGTTTATGCAACATACACGTGTATACATGTAGATTGTACATGTACATGCATGTACTTATAGTATGTATTATTCTAGTGTTGATGGTGTTATTAATTATTCTACAGGCATTGATGCTGTTTGCTGATCGTCTGAAGGACACCAATAGATTAATAACAATCCTTAAGTCAATGATAAGTGACAAACATGAAAAAGTACATACACTAGCTATTACACTAAACTGCACCACTAGCTCTCTCCTTATCCTCTCTTTCTCCTACTACATATACTGTACATGTACATGTACATTTCATTTTTCTTTTGCTAATTCTTTTTCTTATGATCAGGTAAGGCGTACAATAGCCAGTGGTTTTCACGAGGTTGTATCGATACTTGGTGATAGGAGCAATAAAATCACTAAAGAATTTGCCACATTACTGAACGATGACAACATAGAGGTACCTATTAATGTACATGTACATGTGTTATATGTATTGCTTATATCCGCCCCCACAGGTACTGTCTGCTATTGTAGATCATATCCCTGATATCATAGAAGTCCTTGCTGTGGCTCATAATTTAGACTCCAAAACGCGAGTGAGTCATAAACCGTCTCGTGACTTTATTTTATATTTCTTGTTATGTCCATAGCAACCAGGTATCCCTGAGCTGATACAGCCGTTGCTTCATTTTGAGCAGTTGGCCTCGTCCTGTCGTCAGTGGCGACTGCACAGTAACCTCCTGGATAGTTTATCCTGTTTGACCAGATGCATGACGTCGGATCAACTTTATTCTAAATTTGTTCCAATTTATTGGAAATGTATTTCTAGAAATGTAAGTACATGTATATGTACATGCATCTACATGTACATACATGTATATATGAAGAGTTATTGTGTACATGTGCATGTGTTTTTTATTTTCACACATGTAATTACTTGTACATTGTATGTTTTGTTTACAGGGAGTCAGTGTACATGACATGACAACACCAACCACTGTGAGTTAATGGAAATTAACTTAATTTGTTTGATACATGTACATGTACATGTACATGTACATGTACATGTACACATGTTCAGAATTTAATTAGTAATTTGGGACGTGGGTGGACTGCCTTTGTGGGTAAAACCATGCATCAATGGTGAAGTGGAAATTTACATATAATATTATACACTGTACATGTACATTATACATGTAATTGATGATGGTTATTCTCTCCTTTCTTAGTACGTGTTGCCTGTCAAGTTAGCTGCTCTGAGGACACTATGCTCTTACATTAAATACATCAGAAAACTTGAGCAAAGGAGAGAAATCTGCTCACAATTTATATTAGGCAAGACACGCATGTACATGTACATGTAAATTTAACATAAATGTACATGTACATACATGTACATGTACATACATATACATGTAGATCTTGTACCATTACATGTACATGTACAGTACGTTACATTACATGTTATGCTTCATTACAGATTGTGCACATCATGAGAGTCACAAGCAGAGGCTACTCTTCATTTATGTTTGTCAAATTATTCTGGAGAACTTCTCTCGACAGTTCTTTAAGGAGCAGGGATTCTACTCGGCTCTGTTAGACCTATCTAAAGTACAGCACTAGATTACAATACCATGATAGCTGGAAAGTTTCCTAGCAAAAAAACTTATGTGGTTGGGTGGATCTCAGTCTATTTGTGGTTTTTATTTTTGTGGATCATCAGTCAAGTACCCATGCCTTTCATTAACCTGCTAATAATAATGCATGATTTTTAATTTTGTGGTGTCATTCCAAACTACAAAAACCCAAAAGTTTTTGGCCACAAAACTTTCCAGCTACGTATACATGTACATGTACGTGACAGATGTATTGTACATGTATTTAATTTTGTACTCTCTCTCTATGTCTCTCTTATTCTCTCTCATTTTCTTTTTCTTTCCCCAGGATCCTTCCAGTAATGTTAGGCTCAAATTATGTTCCTTGCTCTCTCAGCTAAAGACAATCATCCTCCTTCCCACTGATAGGGAGAAGCAGCAAGCCTTTGAGTCAACCATATCCACACTACTCATGGATAAAGACGCTGAGACCATTGCTGCTGTTAGCTGTGCAGTAAAAGAAATGGCTAAGATTAACTATAGGATACAATCAGTTAGTGTTTTTTTACTGGTTTACAATGTATTTTTTTGATCAAATTTTTTGAACAAATTCCTCAGATTTTGATACGAAAAATCAAAAATTGTTTTCCTACAAATTTTGACAAAAGTACATGTACAGTACATGTAATAATTCACAGAATGATGAAGGACGCATCACAAAATTTGTGAGGATATATTTTACCACAAAAATAAACCATTGTACAGTACTATAGTTCAGGGCACAATGTACATGTACATGTGTACTATAGGACATGCCTCTTACATGTATGTACCATTACATACTACATGTACATGTACAATGTACATATAAAAATACAGTTCTACTTGTATTTACATGCATTGCAGTTCTAATGTATTTACATTCTTTCCTCTCTCTCTCTCTCTCTCTTTTCCCTATCTCAAGATGATACCACATTCATTGTTAGAAGAGGATCTTATTGACAAGGAGAGAGAAGACGAAGAGCAGCAACTATTGAAAGATGTTAGTTATGCATGTACAGTCTACATGTACATGCATACGCATTAATCATTCATGTCTATATACACATGTAAAGTAGTTGTACATTGTACATGTACATGTACATGTACATGGAAATAAATGGACAACTGTATTGTGTGTATGCATGCATTTTGATCAGTGTCACTGGTCAAAAAATGATAGCATAATTATCACATAATATTCTCTTTCTATTAAATAATAATATTTTGCTCAAGATTGTGTACTCATTGTAGGAAGAGCAGGAGAGGGAGAGAGACAAAGACGCAATTGCCACTAAATTATCGGCAGATTTCCGTCGATCAAATCGAGGAGGAGGAGCGGGTGGTCAGAGTCCTGGGATGGGAAGGTCTCTAGCTAGTAAGAAACTGAGTGGATCTAGTGCAAAGAAGTCCAGTCCCAGTGTTACAAGGAAAGGAAGTGGTTTGGGATTAAACTCTACGACTTCAGGTTCATGTAGTCTCACTAATTCACCTAATCCTGCAAGACAAGGAGGGAAAGCATCATCAGCTTCAGGTAATGGAGAGAGAGAGAGAGAGAGAGAGAGAGAGGAGGGAGAGAGAGGGAATGGTTATTGATGTAACATTTATCTTAGCTGGTACTACCAAGAAGCGTAAAGGATCCATAGAGTCTACTGATAGTAATGATAAAGGTACAGTACATTTAGCATGTCTTTATACTTGTACTAATATACACACTGTACCATAATGTCTATGCCTCTATTTTACTGACCTACCTAATATTTTCATACATGTACATGTAATTAACGTGCTGTCCATGTAGGTAAAGGATTCTTAAGTACTGGATCAAGCAAGCAGCGTACATCAGCTACTGGAGGATCATCTCCTAGCCTCTGTCCTTCTCCTGGATCATCCTCGCCTACTGTAAATAGAGCAAAATCAAGAGAAATTTTGTCATCCTCTCCCCCATCTACAACCAGTAAAAGGTAACGTATCTAACATTATAATAAACATCTACATGTATGATTATATCTAATATGATAACTCTCTCTCTCTCTTTTATTTCAGTTCTCCAGCATCAGGTTCAAAGAAATCTCAATTGTCACATGCCACAAAAGCAACGAGGGGAAGCTCCTATAATTAGTATTTCATTAAGAACAAAACGAATGAAATGCACACGTTGTATACACACACACACACACACACACACACACAGATACTAATAATACTAATAAATATAATACTACTAACTGGTTGAACTGGTTTTCTCACTCGACTATTATTTTAATAATAAAAATGATGCACATTGCACAGTAAATTTCTTGGAAAAACTCCTTTCCTGACTATAAAAAAATTTAATTTAAGTTTTTAATATTAAAAGAACCTTGTGCCTGGATGATGCTATAAGAACAATACCTAATGTTCAAAGCTTGCTTAGAGCAGTTTCTTGTAGAACTGTAGGATACTGTACAGGGGGTATATTTCCCAGGGAAAATAAATTGCACAAAAATTACCTTTCAGTCTATTCACAAGAAAAAATTTGCACTTTTCTTCTACTGACTATTATTAGTATGATAAAAAATAATTTTTATTATAGATGAAAATTTTCACTAATAATGGTGAAATTAACTCTCTGTAAAATGTACCCCTTATATGGTATGGTTCCATCATTACAAGAATACTCTTTGTTCACACCTCAAGGTGCAAAGGTGAGAACAATAATTGATAATTTGATATTCAATTTCTTTATAATAATTATTTAAATTCTATACATGATTATGTTTGCAATAAAAAGAAAAATTGTAGTGTAATATAATAACAGATTAATTGTCTGTTTGGTGAGTGTGTGTGTGTGTGTGTGTGTGTGTGTGTGTGTGATACTAGTAAGTGAAGGTGTAAAATACGAACAATAAATAACAATAAGCAATAACAAGTTATAATAACAACAATAAATAATAACAACAACAATAAAACAAAAATTCGATGCACTGCAAAATGATGACACTATATGATTCATTTGTTACATACACACGGCATGTGCATGCATGCAACATTATGTTGTATTGTGAATGTGTGTATATAAAATGTATGTACATTGTATCGGCAGCCTCTCATGAATGAAGGTTAAGATTGTTCTCGCTGACCGATCTCCTCCTCCTATGTCTATGGATCATCCCATTATGATCAAAGCTGGTTGGAGTTACCACAATCCCTTCATCATCATCATCATCATCAGAGCTGGACTCCTCACCAAACTGATAATATTCAGTCCCAGTACTCAGATTGTCCCCTCCTCCTCCTACTGCTTCGGTGCTAGAAGCAAAACTCAAGCTCTGGGTGACAGGATTGAGAAACTTTGACGTGATATCGAGACAGCTAGCGTAACTCTGTCTGTGAGTCCGTAACATGTAGGCCTCTTGGAGACTGTCCCTCGTCCAGTTTACTGTCTTGACATTGCGGAATATGACAGAGACAAAGAGACAAGGAGGGGAGGAGAGAGGGAGGGAGGACGAGGTAGAGTCAGTGAGATGTAATATTAGTCTCTGTTGGATTAACTGTGTTTTACCCTATTATAAATTATTGTGTGTGTGTGTGTGTGTGTGCATGAGTAATAAGAGTAATAATAATTTAGTAATAATCATAAAAAGATGCACTATTTATTCAATTAATATTAGACAAATGTATTGTAGAACATACATTTATCCTTAACCATCTTATAATTAAAAGACAAACACATCATTTTTGCTCAAACAAAAACAACACTTAAGACTCTTACCATTTCCAGGCTAACTTGAGCATACCACAACGGGCTATCGTGTGACCTGCTCCGCCCGTCACAAACATCAAAGGAAAACTGAGCCCCACGACAGGAAGGAATGAGTATCTCAAGCCCTTTCTCCCATACAGGACTAGCTGAGCCCACCACTGGACTCGTTTTAAATATAACCCGAGCATCTTGTCTGACTATACAGTAAGGATCAAGACTGGGTCTGCTTAACTGTTGCTGCTGCTGCTGCTGCTTCTGCTTAGAAGAGGAGGAGGAAGAGGAGGAAATGAGGTTTTGTGCAGAATGTACGTGAATGTATAGAACGCCAGCCTCTGGAATAAAAAAAGAGCATATTAATGCATGTATTCATACCAAATACAAAAATTAGTATCCTTGAAAATTAGTTGTAAAATCCAATTTTGACTGAAATGAGCCAAAAATAAATTCTCTCTGTTGCAAAATCTGGACCGAGACTCTGTACTATTATTATAGGGTCTTAGGCCCAATTTTGAAGCAGCTTAAAAAAATTATAAAACATCAAATTTTGATAGGAATTAGTTAAGTACGTGTACATGTATTAAGTAGCAGGAAAAAAATATAAAAACGAAGAATTCACTACTAAAAAAATTTTGTCAAATACTTTGTACTATATAGTACAGGCTATTAATTTTATTAAATTTGTGAGTAACTTTCTATTGGACTATATACATGTACATGTATGTACAGTCACTACACTGTGTACAGATATACCATGAACATTGTGCAGATTAAAACAGAAAGAGAAAAGAGAGAGAGACATGAGACAAACATTTAACTGTATACATAATCATGCTGTTACCATTAATGTCACATCTATCGATGGCTGGAGTGCGTTGTAAGAGAGAGAAATGAGGGAGTGGAGTATAATACAAGGAGAGACAGAGCTGTATAGAACCATCATCAGAACTCATTCTAACAAGACGCTATATAATAAAGAGAGAGATCCATTTTAATTAAAAACACCAATATCTTGAAATTAATATAATTTTAAAAAATTTAATTTAAAGACAGTAGTGCCATTTAAAAGTTGAGTTTTTTCATCACGTAACCGACTAACCTTTTGTATGTTGCTATCATCTTCATTCTCATTGTCAATGATACCAATAGAGTGAAGGTTAATAACATGCTTAGCAACAGATAAATCCCGTCTAAACTTCCTCTTACTCTTTAACTTTACAGTCAACTGGAGGAGAGGAAGAGAAGGAAGGAAGAGAAAGTTATGATAATAACCCATCATAATGAGTAATGTAATAATTTGCTTACAAAATAGTTATACACTCCTCCTCATAACTTAAATTTTCTGATTATCATTATTCTCCTTCTTTTCCTCTCTCTCTCTCTCTCTCTCTCTCTCTCTCTCTCTCTCTTCCTTCTCCCCTCTCTCCCTTCCTCTCCCTCTCCCCCTCTCTCTCTCCCTTCCTCTCCCTCTCTCCCTCCCTCTCCCTCCCTCTCTCTCTCCCTTCTCCTTCTCTCCCCCTCCCTCTTTCTCCTTCCTTCCCTCTACCTTGTCTTTTGTATGATCACGTATCAAAAATGAGAAAGTGGATGACCATGCAGTTAAAGATCCATCAGTACATTCCCGAAGACACTTTTGAGAGCCAAGACGCAACTTACAATAATGATTGAGCATCACTGAGTGAGGGAGAGAGAGAGAAGAAAAGAGAAAATATTTACAAGTACACATGTGTACATGCATAAGTCTAATCTAAACATAATATTGATGTTCATTTTTCCAAATAAAGTTCATGCCAAATTTGACAAGTGCACATGCACACGTACTCATAAATAATTCAATGTCTTACCACTTTTCTTTGCGTTGTCCATGTTTTCACACTCAATCCTCACAGTCAGGACACCTTGTGATAAACCACAGACCCTCAGGCCATCCCATTCTGGCCCTGGTAATGGTGCTGGGGTGAAATCAACTTGCTGCTTGCCAGGGAAGACCAAGAGCGTCTTAAAACCATACGATATGAATTTCTCCATTATTGATTTAACAACAGGAATATCTGAGACCTCCAGCATGTCCTTTAATACACGTACTTGCACTGTAAGAACAGGACTAGAGACATAAAGAGAGAGAGGAGAGGGAGGGTGAAAGTTACAGCAATTAGAGCAATTATGTACAGCCATAATCATAATAGCCTATAATCAGCTGTGGTATTTGCTTACGGTGCAATGAAGCAAAGATCGGTTGTTGACACATGAGGGAAAGGTGACATCTTATCAGCTGATACAACACAGCGTACGCGGCCATGAATGTGAAAACTCTCAACGTTTAGCATAAAGTTGTGACTCACGCTACTGGAAACGGAATAGAAAAAGATAATAAAATAAAACAATGTTCCAATTATCATATCATGCATCATTATTGGCCTTATAATTACGTAATCCTCCGCAGTAATTATTGTAAAAATGATGATTGCTATAGCAATTTTAACGAACAGGATCAAACCAGTATTATTTAATTTATTAATGTCATTATTAATAATCACGAATGTATATAAGGTGGCCATTGAGTCAGGCCTACAATTACGGCAGTCCAAGTTGTAATACCGTAATAGTAGCCCTGATAATAAACTTAAGATATTCAACAAGCATTACTTGACGTGAATTAAACATAACTACATTATAACAAGTAAAATATTTATGTACAGTTATTATATTAGGAACATCCCCCACACACAATAGGTCTAAGGTTTCAGGTTACATAAACATTATCAATTTCCTGTATCCTATGCTAAACAGTGAGCTGTCATCAGCTATACATCCTTCCCTGAAGGACATACCTCACTATATGACCAACTGACTCATTCCTTAGTACTAATATGGACTGGAATACCAACAGAGAATTATCACCATGCGTATTATAATACTATTATTACAATTCATTGTGCAATAGACTGCATGCTTTGCTTATTCATTTAGGAATTCAATTTAAGGCTCTCTCCAACTATTAATAGTAAACAATAGGTTAGGAATATGTATCAAAATCACAATGCAAAACACAATAAAATAAAACAATGTTAATATATTCTGTGCATGTACAGTACATCATATAATAGATCAATTATTTATCAAAATACTACATGTAGCATACATACATACACATTTCCATTTACCTCTTGAGTCCTACGCTTGCTTTCATTTTAAATTCAGAGTTAGGTACCTTGAGATCAGCGTCAGCTTCCAACGCTACAACGACACGTCCCTCTGCTGCCATGGCAACAGGAGGATTGATGAGTTTGTCCATTGTCATTGGAGCAAACACATTTAAATTATTATAATCCACTGAAAAAGACTAAGAGAGAGAGAGAGAGAGGATAGCGTGTGTGTGATACTCCTAATGGTGTACCTTATTAGTATCAAGGATTGGTTGCATTAGTCTAATGTTAGAGAACTTGATTCTATGGGGCCCAGTACTGAATGAAAGGATTCTAATGGACTCTATATAAGAAAAAAAGTGTTTATGTAAATTTAAATACAAAGTACCACTACATAACTACTACTATACAAAAAATTTGCAGCTTTTGGTTGCCAAGATTCTTCTATATATACATACATGTACATGTACTGTACATACACTGTACAAACATACATGTGAATTCAGAGAGGCTTACCAGAAACAACACTTGGAAATCTAAATTTATTCACAATAGGCTGGATCCAATCTTTAACAAACTTAGTGACAGTTCCATCACAGCAGGACCACCTGAGGAAAACAGAGAGAGAAAGAGAAAGAGAGAAGGGATAGGAGAAATAACAAAAAACATAAATAACGCCAAGTTTCATTTTTAATTCTGCTGAAAACTATGCAACTGAAACCCAAAGCACTGTCATTTAAAAGCATGAACAAGATTGGAGTGAGTGGACAAATATTGAAACACATAATCATCTAGTCTTGTTCACATACCAGTGTAGACTAGCACCATGCATTGTCACAATTATAATGTGTTATAAATGGGAACTGATTGAGGGAGTTGACATACATATTATAATAACAATGTAGTAATTTTATTCCATTTTGCATAATAATTGTTGTATTAAGAAGGCATGACTCATTATCAATCGTGTGTGTGAAAATTGTCCACATATTCATGAGTTATCATTAGGGAAGGATTGAGAGGTTCACAGACAAGCTATACCATGTACACAGCAATAAACAGCAAGAGGGGGGGGGAGGGAAAGGGGGAGAAGAGGACAATTATTGATCTTTTAGTGTTGAATGGTGTTAAATCTGATAGGGACTAAAATGGTAGGAAGACCATGAACTGAGAAACCAGTGTAAAATAGAGTGATAAACGATACTAATAAGAATTATCTATCATTTATATATGCTTCTGAGTATAGGTAAGTCTGCATGGGGTGGAAATTGGACCAGCAAAGTTAATAATAAAGATGATCTATTATAAACATTAAACAAGAAGACATGGACGTACGTGTTAGCATACTTGACATTAAAAGAATAACAATCATACACTGCACCCCATCAAGAGTATTATAACTATGCACCATAATGTACACATGAACACTACGCTTCCATATAAATACGGTGTATGTACATATATGTACACACAGATACAGTTGGTATACTTTTAAGGTCCACACATAACAAGAAAGACATCCTGAGTTCAAGACAAAATGAACTATCAACAATAAACCACGTAAACCATCAACATAAAATGCACATACGCGTATGTCCTAATTCATGAAGAAAAACATTTACTTATTCTTGTTTTACGTTACCTTTAACAAACAAAAATTCCTTGTTTATCACGAAAAAATTCATACTTTCATTCACTGTCACTTTTCATAGTAGTTACTGCTGTCACTTACCATCTATCAACTGTCTTGTTCAACCAGTTAGCACTCTCTCCTGATCGTATCACGTTAGTCCTCAGTATCTTCTGCTCGGTCTTTAGCTCTGTTATCCACTCAAAGAGACCACATCTCTCGTCCCAATGGAGCCAGAGGAGGAGGAGAATGGGAGCAATGAAGAACACGCTCAGTCCGAGCGTACCCACTATATAACAGAAGAGAATGGCAAAGAGATGGGACCTGATGTGAAATATGGATGAAGACTCTTCAGTGCTGTTCATGAAAGAGGGTGGTGGGCTGGCCTCCATTTATCATACAGCCTGTAAATAGGATAAAGGAAGATAATTTTAGTACATAAAAGGACTCTTTTCCCACGTTCCGGGAGGGTCAGCAGAATAAAACTGCACACATCGGAAGGGAATGCTTAAATGCTTACCCTCAAATAATAAAAGGACCCCAAATGGCTTAACTTCGTCACCAAACAAACCTGAACATCAGCAGGCATGGGATGATTCTTTTTTTCTGTGGAAGAATCGATTTAGCCACGCCCTTATGCGTGGGTGTATTGTTATGTTTTGACCACACCCGTAAATAACACGCCCACGTCCACGTTAAAGAAGGCGTTACAGATGTTACTATAGCAACCGAAACAAGATGGCTGCGTTCTTGGAACTGTGGAACAAGAGACAGCAGTTAGTTGAGGCCGTCTGTGAGGCTTGTAGGTAAGAGGACAATGAATAAAGCTGTATTTGACATATCCTTATACAGAGAAGCTGAAGATTGGAGAGAGAAGGAATATAATGCAGCCATTAAGATACAGAGCTGGTTTAGAGGCTGTCGTGTCAGAGCATATCTTAGGTAAGATGTGTACTAGAGTTACTTCACACTATGTCTCGAGCAGGTATCTGAATGAGTGTGCAGTAATAATACAAAAGACATACAGGGGACATTATGGAAGACGTCAATACAGAGAATACCTTAAGGTGAGAGTCTGAGAGAATTTATACTAGCAGACATGCGTAGTCTATTATATCCCTGGTATCATGCAGTGATTAGAGTAATCTTTTTCTATAGGAGTACTATGATGAGCTCCAGCATCAATTTTATAGTCACATGGCAACAATTGTAAGTACAATATCAGTAGTACTAATACTTCTTAATCTGAAATGAAGCATAATTATACTGATATGATGCACAATTAGTTATTATAAATAAAGTTGCTTCAATCATTAATGTTACTAGCTTTGCATGTATTGCATTACTGTAGATACAATCAGCTTGGAGAGGTTATTATACAAGAAAGTATTTATTCAATTATTATGCTCAAAAGACTTATCTTGCTGAACTGAAGAAAAAGAATGAAGAAACAAGGTAGAATAAGAAGAGTGGCTTAAATTTTAGCATGTACATCTTTGTTCAGAATGTCATAATGCAATGACACATTAATTAGCAGAATTCGTATTATTGAGAACCCATTATTGTCATGACTTGCAATTTTTGAATCCTTATTGACCCTGATAAGCTAGATGATAAAATGATAATTTTAAAAACTATACTAAGTTGGTTCTTCATATCAACAGGCTGATTTTACAAGAACATAAGCAAAAGGAAATAGATAGGCAGCTCAAAAGAGAAAAAGAACTTCAAGAGGTGAGACTATTGATACTAAATGACATATTAATTTAATCCTGCTTATTAAATTATGCTATCTATAATTAAATCAATCAATAATTTTAGATTATGATTAGAAAAAAGGCTCTGCAGTACCACTACATGTTGAGTACAGAATCAGTAAGAAAATATTGGGAGTATAGCTATTAAATTAAATTAATCATTCCTCAGTCTCCTGGTGTTTTCAAACAGCGTGATACTGAATCTGTAGATCAGCTTGAAGCACAGATGAGGTCCATTCATTATCACAATAACAGTACTGCCTCAAGTCTCACAGCAAGTAGAAGAAGACTGAGACAGAAACACACCAGCCAGCCTAAAAGATACTGGTCAAAGGATGAGTCGAGTGGATCATTGCCAGCTATTGATCTAACTGCTGCTGATGGTGACTGTAGACTAAGGCACACACTTCCACCTATAAATAAGCCTCAGGTAATGAAACCATTATCTGTGAGCATGTCAAAAAATAATACCGTACAGTGGGTTTATTTTGAGGATAACAAATTTCACGAACTGCGCAGGTTTTTGAAAATTTGCAAAATTAAATTCCTTGAAAATCAATTTAATATGGTACAAGATGGCAGAAAAGTGGCAATTTGCAAAAATTATTATCCTCAAAATAAACCCGCTATATGGTACTTGTTGTTCTTATTATTTTTATGATAACAATTGCAAGAGAAATTAATTGCAATAGTGATCAAACTAAATTTTTGCTGCATTATAGCATGTATTGATGTATGTAGGGTCCATTCAAGTTACCTAAAGATGTTTGGCAGAAGAGGCACAGTGTTCTCAAGCCAACTCTACGAACCAGTACATCTTACTCTTCTGTTGAGCAGGCTAGGTGAGTTGAACCAGCATGGTAGTTAGAGAAATTATGCACTATAAAATAATGATTATCAACTGATTATAACTGTGACATTAAATATAGTGAAACAGTTGGAAACCGGAAAGGTGTAACTCAACCTTCCCCTCTCTCTTCCCCACATTTCCTGCACGCAACTCCTCCTCCTCCTCTCTCTTCAAATGCTCCACTTTAATTTGGCCCTCCTCCTCCTCCTCCTTCTCTCTCTTCCTATTATTCACAACCTCTCTCTCCCATCACCTCTTCCCTGCACACATCCTTCACCTCCTCCATTGCACTGTAGGTTAGAATTACAGGACAAAGAAGACCAAATGATAGTAGTCAATGAAAAGTATGCTGATAAGATTCGACTATTCATACACAATATACATGTATGCCATCATCTCCTTTTAGGTTCCTTCCATTCACAAAGTCTACATTTCAATATCGTCATCCTGTTATGGCATCTCAGACCTCATACATTAGGTACTGTACATTGAAGCACAATACTAGCTGGCTGTTCTTCTGACTCATAACAAATAAAAATCTCCTTTAGGTTAGCATATGGTAATGAATACTTTAGAGAGAAGACTCAGGAGCTCAATAAACAGGTATTGTACCATATATGTACTTGCATGTATACATGTACAAATTTAATTTTTTTTAAATTATTATTAATTTTTTTTAATGTAGCGTTTCCAGAGTGTAGTGCCAGGCATAGCTCTCTTTGATCAAATTTAAAACTGTACAGAGTCAAACTTTTCACACACATTCTCTCACCTTTAATTATACAATAACAGTAATAGTAATAACAATAATAATAAATAATGATTATTATCATAAAAAAATGCAAAAATTAATACTAAAGATTATTTTCCTAACATCACATAACCAGCAGAAATAATAATAATAATAACAAGTTTGTTAGCAAATGTATCTTAGTTCATTTTTTCTTATGTTTCATTGTCATTCCCTGTATTATTTCCCTGTAGCTTTTATAGATGACAGTCAATGGCAGGAAGACCCAGATGTGATTCAGACAAACAAAAATAAACCAAAAATACTTTAATTTTAGGTAACTGTCAAACTTAGGTGGCCAAACAAAATCCTAAAAATTAAAAAAAAAATAACAAATGAACCACTGACACAATTACTATACAATTGCTATAGCACAAAATTTTCAAGAGCTGTAAATTTTGTGAATCTCCTAAAAATCTATTTTGCGGATTCTAATTTTTGCCAAAAATTATACTGTCTGGTGTCTGCCATCTTCTACCATAATAAAGTGATTTTTGTGGACTAATTTTTGTGAATTTTCAAAATAATCACAAAATTAGTGAAATTTGCAGCCTTCAAAAATTTTGCACTATACAGTACAAACAGTATAATAATAATAAGCCACACCCAACTTACATTTCCAGGCAGATGCTTGAAGTCGTCCATGATTTCTCCAACGACGTAAAATATTGTTCCTATCAATTGCCATGTACTAGCTTGGATTGCAAAAAAAGCTTTATCAGGTCTTCCCTGTACAATACCTCTGTACCTATTCAATAAAAAGAGACCATGCATTAAATTTTTAGAAAGGCTATCTGGTAAAAATTAGAAAAGAAAATAAAATTTTGAATGCATGATACAGTTTGTGTAAACATCCTTTAAATAATTAAGTTTGATGAATGAATGACAGGAAATAAACATGGCATTCAAAATCTTGATGTAACAACAACAATGATAATACATTATATCTTCTTTCTCGTTTGCTCCATCGACATTATGTAAAACTAACTTACCAGAAGAAACAGAGTGGTGCCATTACAATAAACTCCAGAAAAGAGACTATAGTGACACAGACATCCTGCACCACCCAATAGCGGGTGTCCAGTACAGAGTATTCATCAACCATGTATCGCGGGCCATATCCCAGGGTACCAACAAACCTAAAATGAAGGAGGGAGGGAGGAGCATGATACAGGGACTATGGTGACAATATTGAAAGTATCGTAGAATTTCCACTTAATTTTTTTAAATGCAACTGTTTCAATAATTAACATTGCATTTTGAGATTTTTTATCCTAGCTAAGCTTAAGAGGACAAATTCACTGCCCCTAGTCTTGCCCTGCTCCCCTACAACATTAAATTAAATCAAGAAAAATGAAACTCACAAATCCATGGGATGGATAAGGGCAAAGTTCAAAAGGGCCCAATAAGAAAGGAATCCCCTCGGCCTCCCAACAGTTATGAAAGCAATGACACTCAATACAATGGGGACAAAAGTCATTGGATGAATCCATCCATCGAGGGGTACACCAGTGTAATTGAGATCACGAGAGAAGGTTTCAAGGTGAGCTAAATTAGGATAAGCCTTGTGAGACATAACTATCAATAGAAGGAGAAGAAACTGAGCCTGAGGGAGAAATACAAGGAGAACTAAAATAGAGTGGGACCACCTCAATATGTCACGCCAGTAGCCCCACCTTTTATGCGTGGGTGTTAAATAATGAGCTCCGCCTTCTTTTTTGCTTGGCTATTAAAGTGAGCTGCAATATCTATGGCATCAGAGAGATACTGACAAATTATTACGCCTAGACATTATAGTATTTAGTAAAGTGCTGGGCCTACTAACTACTGCCTCCATTCATGAAACAAAATAACTGAATAACTGAGAGAATTAACTTACTCTCAGCTCCACCCAAGTCTAACACGTGTGTGAGCATGGTGTGAGTGTGCTGCTAAACCACGCCCCTCACACTCTGAGGCTCAAGTTAAACTTGCTTTAGCAGTCATTTGTGAAGATCCTTTCATCCTATCTTGTCACAGAGAGACACTATAAGTATCAGAGGGTCATGTTGCTGACTGGTAGAGGGTGTAGCGTCCTTAATGGCCTTAGTAGGTGGAGGTGTGAGGAAGAGGGGACAAGGCCAGGAGAGGGTTTCACTCTTTCTAGAACGACTACTGAGTCATTTTATCATACAATGTCTCTCAAACTCCTCATGTCCACTGATCAGTTGCTCAAAGAAGTGTTTGCTGACTATCTCAAGCTACCTGTGAGTAATGGCATGATCATTTATTTATTTATTCATTCAAGAATGCTAGATCATAGATCATCTGTAGACTGTAGCTAGAAAATGTGTAGTGTTAAAATGTGGCAAATAGGCCCTTAAAGAGGTCGAGTGATAAAAATTTCAGCTAAATTTTGACCTTGAGCATGTGGGTGCCCCCCACAAATTGAATTGGAGCATGCAATCAAATTGGAGACTAAAATTTTATGCAAATGAAGCTCAATTTGCCAAAAATATGCTCCATCAAATCATCAAGTTATACAGTGTAGAGTTGCTGGGTATGTATAATATGTTGTGTTAGACCACTTGTGAAATAATAGTGGGACTTTGTTTTTTTTTATTTGGATGATCAGTTGAATAAATATTTTATTTATGTGCATCTAGATATTTCCAGTGAATTTAGAGTATCACATGTCCCATGGCAATACTGGAAGACTAGTTGATCCGTCAAAGGCAAATCTCGACGTTTGGTCGTCATCTATTGTTCAGCATAACTTGTTTGAGTGGGTGGAGTCTCACCGACTGCCATATTTCATAAAATCTGAAAAGTATGCCGAGTTGAACTTTTGCCGTCAGTTAATGAAGAGGCGGAGCATCACTATTAGTGTAAGCCCTTACTGTCTGTGCATGTTACTGTGTGTGGAAGTGTATTCTAGTGCTGGTGTTAGTTGCTAGTGTTAAAAGATTAATTAATGTGAAATATCGTGTGAATTGCCAATAATGCTAATGAGGCATATCCCAATTTCCCAAGCTGAAAAAAACATCATCAGAAGAAGCAGGGATTTATTATACTATCATATGGATACATTAGTATATTAAATGCCTGATTAGAAGTGATTTCATTATTGAAACTACATGTAGGCATAGTAAAGCATAGATACACTTGCATTATTAACAGTTCTAACACAAGTCCTGTATAAATGCAGGTCAAGTCAACTAGAAATATAAATATCCTGTCCATGTTGCCTGTACTGTAGTGTTGGCAGAGTCAAAAGATGTTGTTTACAAGACTTTAGAAGAGTCACATACCTGCGACTGCTTTATATGGTAATGATCCTCTGCCTGTTCGTGAAACCTTTATTTTGACAAGTTAGTGTTACTCCTGTAAGGATGCTTTGCTCCTCACCTTGTCTTTTGATGTGCTTGCAAACCATGCCTATTTAAGCAAGGCATCATTTGCGGTGGGAATTATCTTAATTTGCTGGAGCATTTACAATCCATTTTTTGATCCTTTTAATCAGAATGAATCTTAGAGCAACTTTTAAAAATTTATAAAAATTCAAAATTGATAAATAACTTAAGGACATACCGTATACATGTAACTCTTTATTTTGGCGATTTTGCTGTACATGTGCATTACTGAGCATACGCATTAATGATTGGCGGTTTTAATATTGGCGATTCTGCTTGCAACCGCCAATCGCCAAAATAAAAATCTGCCAAATTAAAGCGTTATACGGTACATTTGTATCAGAAAAGACTATAAAACTCTTATAGACATTTTTGACGAAATTTGGCCGAATCCCTGTACTATTATTATACAGTTAATATTTACTCAGTTTTTGAGCCATTTTAATAATTTAGAACATAAAAAGTTAAAAAACAAGATTAAGTATTGAGCAATTTTAATAATTTATAAAAAAATTCTCAAAATTTCTACATAAGATAAGAACATGTATATGTATTAGAAAAAATTATTAAAATGCAGAAATTTATTAACCATTTTTGGCAAAATTTGGCCAAAGACCGTTTACTGTACAGGGACTTTGGCCCTAATTTTTGAGCTACTTTAAAAATTTATGAAAATCTGATTTTAATCTGAATCCACTCAAACACTCTCCACAACATAAGAACATGTATGTATATGTATCAGAAAAAGTTATAAAAATAAGAGGATTTTCACTTTTCATTTTTGGTAAAGCTTGGCTCAAGACTGTACTATAGGGGACTTTAGCCTGATTTTGGAGTGATTTAAAAATTCATAAGAAAATCCAGTTTTAATTCGAATTTGTTCAAAATTTCTGCAACAAAAATGTACATGTACATGTATCTGTATTAGAAAAAATATATAAAAAGAGAATTTGTTACTTGCCATTTTTGGTTTGCCATAGTAACCAGTACTTGGTCAAGTTTTGGAGCAACTTCAGTTTTGACCAAAAACATAAGTACATCAAGAAAAAAATTTTGTCCTAGCCATTTTTGATGAAATATGCATAATTTTGAAAGGGGAAATTTTGCTGAATTGCTAAATTTTTGGTGATTAGTGAGCTTATAATTTGGTGAATTTTTGGCCATGTGTCATCAGGCAGGCATGCTCAAAATGGCAGGTTTTATTTTGCTGAATGGCTATCAAAATGTCTACATTTCCCCTCAAAAATTACCAGCTATACAGTACTGCATTTAGTTACTGGGAAGATCCTCCAAGTAATAATATTACTGTTAGTTTACACTAAAATGACTATTTCTTATTTTTTTATTGTAGTATTCTCAGTTTAAGTGTTTTCGGTCAAAATTATTTAATACCAAAGGAGGACTCCATCTTGAGTTGTGGCTGAAGCTCTCTCAGCTTTTTCCTCCATGTTTCTCCGACGGGACTATTGTTGATCACTTTGATTTCAAGAAACTGAGTATCACTTTGCGCCAGTATAGCTCTGTAATGACTGAACTTAAAATGGTAATGTACTAGCACTTTTATACCATCTTCAATTGCTCTCTTTCCCTTTTCAATTTTCTTCTCTCTTTTTGCTCTACATCTTATTGCATTTTTCTCTCACTCGCTCATTCATCATCATCATCATCGTAATCATCATCTCTCTCTCTCTCTCTCTCCCTCCCTCCCTCTCTTCCTCCCTCCCTCTCTCTCTCTCTCTCTCTCTCTCTCTCTCTCTCTCTCTCTCTCTCTCTCTCTCCCTCTCTCTCTCTCTCTCTCTCTCTCTCTCTCTCTC